GGGGTACGCTCGGCGTCGGATCACCTTGGATCATGTTGTCTCGCATACTTAGAGTTGGCTCGGCGCTTTTCGGCGAAGTAATATTAGTGCTAGTACATACGGAAGCAGTCGATGTCGCGTTAGCGATTGAATCGGTGATACTTTTAGGTGCTTCCGAGCCTCTTGCAGACGGTACCGGTACATTCGATGATATCGGTATGCTTGACGATACTGGTATACTCGAGGATATCGGCATACTCGATGGTATCGGCATGTTCGATGATATGCTCGGCGACATACTTGTAACTGGCATACTCGATGGCATACTTGATGGTATACTTGACGGCATATTCGATATCGGCATGCTTGACGGTATGTTCGATGATACTGGCATATTCGACGGTATACTCGGTGGCATGTTCGATGATACCGACATATTCGGTGGTAAACTTGGAGGCATATTTGATGGTACTGGCATGCTCAGTGGCATATTCGGAGGCATACTTGAAGGTATTGGTAAGCTTGGTGGTATCGACATAGTCGATGGTACCGGCATGGATGATGGTACCGGTTGTGTTAACAGAGAAGACATCGGACCAGGAATAATCGGGTGCGTCTGCGTCGCAACCTGCGGTGTCATTTGCGGCGCTTGAGACGCTTCTTCAATAACGATATCTTCATTGGTTTCTCGTTTCTCCGTTTGCCCACGGAAAGGACGACCGTAGTTTGTTAGTTCATCCGGCTTAGAAGATTCCTTCTCTGATGGCGAACACTGTTTATCAGCGGTTGGAGGCATTTCTGATTCAGATTGATCATGTTGTGTTTGAACGCCTTGCGCAAGAGAAACGGTATCAGGAGTGTAAACCTGAGTGCCTTCCTCAGAAGATTTTGGCAGAGATGTATCCGTATCCGAATTAGTGGTACGGGTATGATTAGAAGGACTATACTCGGTATTTGAGCTTACTTCTGCCACTACATCTTCCAATCTGACTTCCTCAACACGCTGCTCAGTTCTCAGTTGACCGTCGGACGAGTTGGAGTTGTCCCCGAGTGTGGAATGATCCATTGGCTCTTGCTTGACTTTGGGTAATCTCGACAGAGAAACTTGAGTAGTCAAATTAACTTGACTCAAATAAGGTTTAGCCGTCGCTGTAGCAACTGGTTTGGGCCTCTTAGAGACTTCCTTATCGCCAAATGGTTTATAACCCGGACCCGGTGATGATTTATTAAGAGGCCGGCCGGTTTGATTACTAGAAGACGACTTGGGTATTATGGAAATCGCCGAATTATTCCGTAAAGGAAACCCAACCTCGGGTTTAGAATTTCTCTGTATCATTGAAACTCCTGTAATTTAAAAAATTGAATTATTTTCAAATAATGAAATATTTTCAAATAATTAAAAGTATTAAAAAGGCTCTGCACTTATAATAAAAGGTAATATACAAGAAGGGCAAAGAGCCAATAACGTAATAAAAGAATTTTAATTTAAATAAGCAAAAATAATACAAAACAATTAAAATAAACAAACGTTTCAACTCCAATCGAGTCATTTTCAATACAATCTTATAATAATATAAACATCGTTCTAAATTAAAAATCTGTACATGGTCTTACAATATTCTTACAATTCCTTAATATAAAATTTTTTCTTTCTGTGTAATACGCTGCGAATCATTTTTATCAAGAATTAACAAAGTCATAAGAAACTTCTGGAAAAACAACCGTGAACAAAAAAAATTAATATTAATTACATAAAAATTAATAATATGATAATGTACCTTAGTAAATATGTTAAGAGTCCAATAATACACAACGAGAAAAAAATGTAGACTGTAATCGATTTCGTGGTACAATATAATAGTCTTTTTATTTTATAAGTTATTATAAGCAAATTTGCAAAGATAACAAGCGTCTGACTTGCACGATGTCAAATAACAAAATGTCAAGCAGAAAAACATTATCGAGAACGAAAAACGGAAAAATAGGGAGGAAAAAAGAGAGAAGATATTAGGAAGGAGAAAGAGAATGTATAATGTCAGAATACAATTCCGGCAAAGACTCCGTGTCATTTTGTCTATTTATTCCATGTTTCTGTTTTTTAATATGGACCATTTCAGATATCAACCTTTTATTATATGAAGGCTCTACATATATCCACTTTATCCCATTTAAAGTTATGATTCTTCTCCATACGATGGTTCGAAATCACTGATGGAGATTTTGAACTTATATTGATCGTTGTGTATTATTGGACTCTTAACATATTTACTTAGGTACATTATCATATTACTAATTTTTATGTAATTAATATTAATTCTTTTTGTTCTTTTTGCTTTTCCAGAATTTTCTTATGACTTTGTTAATTCTTGATAAAAATGACTCGCAGCGTATTACACAGAAAGAAAAAAATTTTATATTAAGGAATATTGTAAGAATATTGTAAGACCATGTACAAATTTTTAATTTAGAACGATGTTTATATTAGTGTAAGATTGCATTGAAAATGACTCGATTGGAATTGAAAATGACTCGTTTGTTTATTTTAATTGTTTTGTATTATTTTTGCTTATTTAAATTAAAATTCTTTTATACGTTATTAGCTCTTTGTCCTTCTTGTGTATTATCTTTTCAAATAATATTTAATATTCAAGAATAATTATTATTAGTATTATACTAATTTAACTCACCTTTCTTTGGCTCCTCCTCTCGCTTTTGTTGATTCAATTTAAGCGCAGTACGAATTGCTATAATTTTTCCGGATTCAAGCTGCATGTAAATACCTTTTGGACTCTTTAGTACCATTACTCGTTGACCCGCTTTTAGAACGATACTTCCTTTGTCCGGAGAATTTGTTGGTATAACTACATCTAGAGGTAGCGTCATCTCTTGCGCACTCATTCCTTGTCTTTGCCATACTTCCGCTGGAATCCATCTACTACCAGTAACACCTCGCGGACTTAATCCTTCAGCGCCTCGCTGTTGCATAGGTCTGACAGAAGCAACTGGTTTCGGTGTAGGTCCACCATCGCCGCGAATTGCTCTAATTTGTAATCCACCTGCTAGAATAAATAATCAATGTGTATTTACAGAGCACGATTATCTTTTGATTTAAAACAGGCTTTTCAACCGATGACTAGTGTGCTGCGAATATTTGGAAAAGATAAATAAAAGGAAAAATTTAGAAATAACTAAAAGCAAGTAAGGCGCCAAAGACAAGCGAATAAATTGAGATGAAAATTCTATTATTATATGTAAAACATTTCAATTTATTTCGCTTTATTCGCTTTGGCCGATTTCTATTTTAATATAAAAAATAAAAATTTTAAAATTTTATTTCTCTCTCTGTGAATGTTATTACTATTTATTAAAAGATTTATGCTGAACGCTAAAGAGTGTGCATCTATATTGTACATCGAGAAGTTTAACTCGTTATTTAATATGTTATAAATTGAAAAAAATTGAAAAACGAAATAAAGTTTTTAAAATAAAGTTTCTATCTTTAATATAAACTGTACCTCGAGTAGCTGTATTTCCAGGAACATAGTTATAACTGGGCCTAGAACAATTCGCTGCCATCTTCTCAAGCTCGTAGCCGCGACGGGCTAATCGTTTCTCGGCTTGACTGAGCTTTTTGTCCTTTCGATCAACGAGCAAACTCTCATGATGAAACGGTTGTTTGGTGAGCAACGAAGAATAACGTTCTAATACGCAATGCATAACTTCGTCCGTGTAGCTATCCTTGATCTGTGAGAAATCCTGCACTTGGCTGTCCTCTTCCCAATCCCATGATAACGTCGTCGCTTCTTTTAGCGAAAGATGCGCATCGGGATTGCACTGATCGACCACGCGATCTGCCATACCCTGTTTACTTATCTGTCGATCATAGATCTTCCTTTCTAAACAGTTATCAGTGACCAATCGATAAACGAAGCATGGCTTTTGTTGGCCGTATCGGTAGACTCTGCATACAGCTTGCGTATCGTGACAAGGATTCCAGGAAGCATCAAATACAATTGCGCGATTCGCGCCGACAAGATTGATACCCAGTGAACCAGCTCGTGTAGAAACAAGGAAAAGATGAATCTTTGGATTGTTATTGAATTCATTAATTAGCTTCTCTCGCTCTAGCGCGCTAGTGCTTCCATCTAGTCTGTAATAATTCACATTTTTAATCCAGGCATCGGTTTGACCATCCGGATACTTTAAACTATTTCGCGCTAAAAAATCTTCTATGAGATTCAATGTAAATAGCGATTGCGAGAATGCGAGTACGCGATCCCCTAGTTTAATAGCTTCCTCGAGGATACAAAAGAAGAGTGTCATTTTTCCAGATGCATCTATCAATCCGGGTACGTATCCCTTCATCAACTCTGTTGCCTATAATAAAAATCAACATTATAGAATTATTATCAAAATACAAAATAAATAAATTAAAATAAAGAACTCTTATTAATTAATAATAATATCAAGAAAGTAGAAGGGCATATAAGAGTCAAATTTAAATAATTAATGTATATAATAAATCATTCAAAATGTATACACTTAATTAATTACTATAAGATATAAATTTTACATTTAACAAGTTTATAAAAATTTATATTTTGTTACATATCAATAAGGTCCCCTTATAGATATTCGTCATAGATATACAATTTATACTTTACTTTTATCTTATCGCTAGATTTCCCTATTTTATCTTTATTTCAGAAATTCCGGAAGTTCCGTTTCTCTTTTATAAGAGGGTATATTCAGTTTCTTTATTTAAACATTCAAACTCTAACAGATAGATCACGTTATGTACTTTTATGCGTCATAAAAATTACAGATTATTCTAGAAAGAATGTCTAAGAATATCACACGATCGTTCTCAAAGAAGCCCTCCTATAAAATAACAAATATAAAAGCGTATTATACATTAACATTAATAATAATGTATATTATATTAGCGATTGACAATTAAGTAATTAAGTTCAACAATTAGCAGTAAAATAGAAATCTTCCTGAATGCGAGAACGAATATCTCTTTTTTTCCCTTTTTCTTTTTCTAATAAAGTTAAATTAATTTTAAACATATGAATGTAGTGAATTCGCCTCGCATAAAGGATATTAAGGAAAACCGAATTTTTATTACAACAAATTGTTAAAATTCAACTATTACTTATTAAGAATAAACTTGTAGAGTGGGGAGTAGGGCTTACGCGGAGCCTTGCTGCCTTATCTCAAAGAAAGCGCGAGTATAGGTTCTACCAAATTTTGGGAAGTGTCGATTGGTTCTGAAAGGACACTCCCACACTCATTTTCAGTATATAAAAGGAGCTGTCGAAGACAGAAACTTACACTCACACTTAGACTTAGACTTAGACTTATACTCACACTTACACTCAGACTCACTCTTGTACTTACACTCACTCTTACACTCTCAGACTTACTCTTAGACATACTCTTACACTCAGACTCTCTCTTGCACTTAGACTTAGATTTAGACTTATACTTACACTCAAACTTAGACTCAGACTCACTCTCAGACTCACACTGCTTCGGTTAATCAGCCAGTCAGTCAGTTATAGTCAAGGTGAGCACTATCCTCGCGCTT